TTTCCTTTTCTGCTCCCATCCTACCATCCAAATTCAGGTCCTTGCCATCTCTTGTGGGGACTATGGCAATTGTCTTATAACTATCTTTTTTACCAAAGGAGACAGCTGTTCTGCCACATCCTCTTGAAAGTCCTCATTTCTAGGCCTGAATAAAGCAGTATACTTGAAAGTCAGGAAACCTCCAATTCCAATATCCTCCTTCTAATTCAACCATGTAAAGGCCAACTGACACAGGTTTTTGTGAAATGCAAATCTCATTAGGCTTTTCCCCAGGGCTAAAATTTTCAAGACAAACAGGAAAAAATCTAAAATTCTTTGCACGAGAAAGACCCTTTCTGAACTGCTTTGCCTCTGATATATTTCTCCCCACAATCTCCTTCTTTGCTCTTATGCTTCATCTAGCCTCAACTTAACCTGTGGCTGCCAGAGCTGTGGAAAGATATGAGAACTTTCTAGGAGTTCTTCCCATCAAAGGTCATCCTCAGAGCTAAATCCTTTGTGCAAAGTTGCCTTGGAGTGAAACCATGAAGTCAAACCTGGGAGCTTTTCACTTTTGCTTTTTTCTACTCTTTCCTTAGATGGGAGAACTTTTTCTTTATCTCTGGAAATGTAACTGGGGGCCCTCCAGGACCAGTTCAACTGATCCCATGTCTTATCAACAGAGTGATTAAGAATTGTCTTTCAGAAAATCTGCAAAGGCATGAATCCAGAACATGAACAAAAGAAGAAACCTTGGAATGACAGCAGAACCAAAGATCTTACTTTCCACGGAACCCGACGACTGAGACACAACCAGAACTTGCAAGTTGGACCCTTATCAGAAGCAAGGGGTCACTTATTCAGGAAGATCCAGTGTTAAAATTCCTTCCCCACCTCATCATAAGTGTTTAGAACCTGATCATAAATGTTTAAAACCTTACCATAAATGCTTGAAGCCCACCAATCAAAACCTGTCCCACCAGCGTTTCCACGTGCCATATTGTTCTCCCTAACCTCTTAAATTTTGCCCCAAATCCTGAATCAGGGAGACAGATCTGAGGCCACACGTCCCTTGTTCTCCCTGCAGATCTATCTCACAGAATAAAGCTGATCTCTTTTCCCAAAGGCTGATGCTGTAATTAATTGCCTTATTTATATGCATTGGGCAAGTGAACTGCAATTTTGTGCGGTAACAGAAACTGAATGCCTTTGCTCTCTGGTGAGGTGCCTTGTAGCCTTGGCACACAATCGAAGCTCTATAAATGTTTGCTGAATAAATCAAGGAATTAATCTGTAAAATCATGTCATCCTCCCTGAAGCCTCCCCTTTCTCCTCACTTTGCCACCCTGACTTCCTACACCCACCAAATTTTCCCTTCCTTTATACCACAGCTGGAGTGTGTGGACAGCGCTCACATCTAAATGACTGAATTTATATATACATATAATAATTATATATATTAGTTATATATTTATATATATTAGCTAAGATTAATATAGTTAATAATATTGTATTGCATATTTGAAAATTTCTAAGAGAGTAAACCTTAGAAGTTCTTATCACAAGAAAAAAATTTTTTTGTAACTATATGTGGTGATCGATGTTAACTAGACTTACTGTGGTGATCATTTAGCAATGTATACAAATATTGAATCATTACTTTATACACCTGAAACTAACAATGTTATATGTCAATTATGCCTCAATAAAAAAAAAGTGACTGAATTAGTGGGCTGAACTCTGATTTATCTTTGTGCTCCCTCAAGACTTCATGTGATTAACTTCATCAAGGTCACCTAGAAGAAATTTGAACAAATGCAAGAAAAGTAATAATAAAATTACTAATATCTACATTTATGGAGGGACTTTCAATGTGCCAGCCACTGTGTTAAGTATTTTTGCAGGGTTTCTTAACTTAGGGACTGGTGAACTCGATGGGAAAAAAAATGTACATCTTTAAAACCTCGAACCTCTAACAGAAATTTAGCATATCCTTCACATGTGAATGTAGGCAACAAACTACAGTCAGAAGTACCTGTGGCTTTGTCACGAGAAAAATCACAGACATTTTCATGTCTCATACTTGAGATATGAAGCATGTTACAAATACTCATACTTAACTATTTGGAAATTGCAGTAGTCATGAGACGAGTCTTGATGCTTAATATTTAATACATTAATGAAGAAGCAGACATATTACTATGTCACAAATCTTGTTTGATAACTGTTCTGTAGTATAATTGATTTTCTTTGTTATCCTATGTATGTTTTGAATGCTTTTTAAAATATAATTTTGAGAAGGGCTCCATGGGCTTCCTCATACGGCCAGAGGGCTCCCAGGCACCTAAAAGGCACCGGCACGGAGACGACCTCTGGGTGCTGGCAATCCCCTTCACTAGAGGGGACTTGGCCCTAGAGCCCGGGACGCGGAGCCCGAGCAAGGTCTGCAAGGGGTCTGAGGAGCAATACAGGGAAAGAGCTTCACGGTGCTAGCCGCCCTCCCAGCCTGGGGACTCAGGACGCAATCCAGAGCAGGCAGCGCGAGGTGACACCGAGAAGTGGGGACCTGCAGGAGGCCCAGAACCGGTCGGAAGTGCGTCCAAGCTGTGCGGCCGCAGGGGCGGGGCATCACTGCGCCGGTCTGGCCGCGTCCTCGGGCAGTTCAACTAGGGTGTCTGTAGGTCATTTTTTATGACCCAGGGTGGAAGCCATTGGAGGGTTTTGGAGAGGAGTGACGTACATTTTACAAGGATCATTGTGACCACTGTTGAGAACAGAACGAAGAGGGACAAGTGCGGATACGGGAAAATAATTTTCCCTCCCTCTTCTTTCCAACTCTTCCAGGACCAGTGCCTGTTTTGAGTCAGAAATTTGATTACTGAAAACTCTGGATCAGTCTGGCTGTTTCATGTCAGACACCCAAATTCTCAAAATATTTATAAACCAGGATGTTAATTTATGAATTTACAGATAGGAATGTAAGTGCCAAATGGATCAGAAAAGAGGGCAAGGAGGTTTAAAGGCTAATTTATGATTTCCTAACTTGGTCTTCCCCACTTCAGGAATATATGTCTAAAAAATTAGCATCCTGTACAGAAACCATATCCCTTCCAGCTTTCTGTTGCTAGAAATGCAATAAAATGCTGAATTCCATATGACCACTTTCACTCTAGAATTTATTGTCCTTTCATTACTACTCTTATTTATTGGAAATTACAACTGTTTAGTTTATAGAATATTATTACTTTCATTTGATTGTTTCCTATTGGTATCTTGGGAAATTCTTAAATTTTCTCAGAAATACCAAATTATTTTTTTTGATGGATTACATTTGAGATTTATACCAGTGATGTTTCCAGCAATGAGGAGCCTTCTAGGCCCTGGAGTTATAAATGTGGATCTTAATCAGGATTTTACTACTCACTGAATGACCTCAGGGCAAATTATTTAATCTCTGTTTGACTCAGTTGCATTAAATGTAAAGTAATATGGGGATATATAATTCGACTCATAGAGTCATGGAAATACAAATATGCATGCAAATCACTGGGCAGACAGTGTTTGGCAAACAATAAGGACTTAATAAGAAATATCTTATTATTGTAAAAAATCTAATATTTGGTTATGCATTTAAATTCTTTTTTGAATCAACAGTTTATTGAACATCTACTATGTACTATATTCTCTTAACATCTTTGCAAATGTTATTACTCTTACTAGAAGCTTTTTCCCCACTCCTTGGTTGACCAATTCCTATGTGTTCATATTGCTGCTTAGGTGTCAAATGCCCCAGGAAGTCCTCCCTAATACCTCTTCATGCTCTGGCATCAGGGTTAGTCTCTTGCAGTATCACAACCCTGAGCACACTACTGTGTGATGACTTGATTGCATTTGACTTTACACTTTGAATGTCTACTTTTGATCCTGATCTGTTGTTGTTTGGCAAAGAGAAAGCACAGATAAATGTTTGTTGTTTACTGAATAAAATGAGGTGGGAATAGTTGAGCAGAGGAAGGATGATAATACAGCTTGATAAAGGAGAATTTCCAGCAATTCAGTTGTGACAGTCATCTAACTGCTCTTCCTCCTTCAATTCTTCCCCCCTTTCAGACTGTTGCCCATTCATCAGCCACACACACACACACACACAAACTTAGATTGTGTCGTTTCTCTGTTCAAAACTCGAATGGTATCCCATCACTTAGAAAAATTACAGCCTGGAAAGTCTACCATTTTCTGGCCCCTGCCTATCTCTATAATCCTATCAGCTACCACTCTTACCCACCCTCACTCCAATTCAGCCACTTCTGCCTCATTCTGCCTCAGCATGTCAAACACATTTTCACCTCATCTCTTCGCATTTGCTATTCCCTCTGCTAGAATGCTTTCCCCTCATATTCACATCTCTTTTTCCTTCACTTCATTAAGTGCTCTGCTCAAATCTCATCAGTGGGGACTTTCTTAACCACCCTATCTAAATAGCACCCACTTACATTTGTTCACTTATGGCCCCTTGTCACATAAATTTGTGTATTTTCTGCCCTCCTTCCAACTAGAATAAAAGCTTGGTGAAAGCAGAGGCTGTTTCGTTCACTGCTGTATCCCCAGCATTTGGACAATGCTTTGCATTAGAAAAGGGAAAACAAGGTATATGGACCGTGAGGAAACAAAATTCTTTGCATATACAGAATATATGGTTATCTACGCAGAAAACTCAAAGAAATATACAGACACGTTATAAGAATTGAGAGTTTAGCAAGGTTGCTGGATACAAAAATCAACTTTAGCTAAAAAAAGAAAATGTAGTAACTAAAATATACCATATAAAAGAACATCAAAAAGTATAAAGTCCCTAGGAAATATTAACAAAGGAAGACATTTATGGAGAAAATTAGAAAACTTTATTGAAAGACATTTAAAAAGCCTAAATAAATGGAGAGCTATACCATGTTCATGGATTGGAAGACTCAACATTATTATTAATCGATAAATCCAATAAAAATTCCAACATTTTTTTTTGATTGATTTAGAACTTGTCAATCTAATTCTAGAAGTTGTAGGGAAGAGCAAATGGCTAAAAATAGCCAAGATACTCCCAAGGAAGAAAAATCTGATGTTGATGTTGGAGGTGGAGGTGGAATTTGTCCTCAGATATCAAGACCTTTTTCTAAAGTTGTAGTACTCTGGATTGTATCAGAGTACTGCCACAAGGTTAGACAAATTGACCAGTGAGTCAGAACAGAAACCATCAACAGACCCACATAAACACACAAACTTGATTTATGAAAGAGCCAGTGTTACAGCTCAGTGGGGAAAGGGTGAACTTTTCAGAAAATGGTGCTGGGACAACTACTTATCCATATGGAAAAAATATATATTGAACTTCTGTCTCACACTTTTCACAAAAATCAGTTCTAAAGACTAAAGATAAATGTGAAAAGCAAAATTGTAAAACTTTTATATGGCAGTAAAGAATATCTTTACAACTTGGGTAGGAAATGATCCCCCCTACCACCAAGCCAACTTGTATCCACCTTCATAAGATATTTTTCAAAAACAGTTATTTCCAGCAGGACATGGGTTACAATCCATAATATTTTACAATTTCCAAACTCTCCTCCCCAAAAAGTCAACAGTCTTCTGTTGCTGCTTTGAACAGGAAAAGTTTTCAGAAGGGGTGGGTATTTCACACGAGGCATGTAAGAGCTTTTCACATGTCATTTCCGACTTGGAGAAAAGGAACTAAAAACCCCAGGATTATCAATGGGATAATCCACAGACTACAAACAAGAATCTTGGCTCTTTTGAGCAACATCATCTCGTTGTCTTTACCAGAAGGCCTGAGTGTTATTACCCAACACACCTGATTTTAGGGATTCTGGTTTTCTGAAACCATGACTCTTGGTTTCAGAAAGTCAAGTGTATGCTGATGGCATCAGGAAAGGCAAAGACACAAAGTATGCTTCCCCACACTGTAAGGCTTGTGAGCCAAAGTGGCTGACTTGTGTGCGAATGTCAGAGAATCTCTCCTGGGAACCAAGAATAATCTTCAAAAATGAGGATAGAAAATCCTATTTTCCCCCATTTTAATCCAGCTTCTGAAACATTCTATTAGTGGTATTTGCCCTTTCCACAAAAGACAACACCAAAGTGTCCTGTGTGCTAACAACATAACTTAAAAAGAAAAAATTCTACATATTTATAAAAGTTGATTTAAAAAAAAATAGTATTTCAAACAGCAGAGTCACCAGAAGTACAGAGCTATCAAAAAAGTACACTTCACTTGGCATCCTCGGTGCCTTCTGCTTTCTGTGACTGGACCGTGGAGGCATCTCGGTTTTTCGCAGGGTTGTTCCCGTCCTTGCCACCATCTGCTTTCCCCTTTCTCCCTTTGGGCAGCTTCTCTCCCTTCTTTGCAGGGGTCTTTTTAGGCCTGGGCTCTGGTTTTGGGGGGGCAGGTTTAGCAGACAACCGTGCTGATCTCCTCTGTGGCTCATCTTTCACCTTCACTTTGTCACCTTTAGCATCCCCTTTTGCCTTTCTCTTGGGCATGGTGGCAGCAGTGCTTGGTAGGTGGCTTTGCCAGTCCAGAGGGCTATTCTGTCTTCCTCACACTGCTCCTAGAAAGAGTTCTTTAACAAGACACAAAAAGTATAAACCGCAAAGGGAAACACTGACAAATTTAACTACATTAAAATTAAAATTTGACTATATTAAAATTAATAATATGTGTATATTAAAAAAGATAGCATAAAAAAGATATGTTACAACCTGGGCAAAGATACTGATAACACATATAAATGACAAAGGATTAGAATCCAGAATATATACAGAATTCCTACAGATCCATGAGAAAAGGACAAAATGAAAATTTAAAAACAATGGGCAAAAGCATTAACAAGTACTTCTTAGAAGAAGTATCAATGGTGAATAAGCACATAAAAATATGCTCAACCTCATTAACAATATGGGAAATGCATACGAAAATCACAGGATATAACATTTCACACCCATCAAATTGTTGAAAACTACATTGTCTGACAATATCAAGGGCACAGCAGATGCGAAACAATTAAAACATTTACACACTGCTGCGGTATGTGTTTATGTGTGTAAATTAATGTATTCACTTTGGAAAACAACGTGGCATTATCTAAACCAATTTCACTTCTAGGTGTTTACCTAGAGGAATTCTTGGAGGTGTGCATAGGGGACCCCTACAAGAATGTTTATAGCAACTCTGCAATTTCAAAAAACTGGAAACCACCCAATGTCCTTCAATAGTAGAATAGATAAATACATTTTGGTAATATCTATGCCAGAGAATACTATTCAACAGCAGAAATGAATAGATTACAGCTACGTACATGCAAAACATGGATGAATCTCAAGAACATAATGTTGAGCAAAAACAGTAAGTTGCAAAATATGTATAGATCCCTTTATAAGTATAAAATTAAATGACATGTTTAGGCCACAAGCATGTAGTAAAACTAAAAAAAGCAAGGGATAAATATAAACATCAGGACAGTAGTCACATCAGAGGGGGTTGAGAAGGGGGATGGTGGTTGGAGAGGGCATGGGGGTAAGTCCAGAGATAAGGGAGTGGGGGTAGCATTTTCTTCCTTGAACTGGGAATGGGGAGTGGGGAGAGGGAGGGACATGGCAAGTGTACCATTACTCTATATTTTACACAGAGAAATTTTATGTGTCTACTCAAGAATTAATAAAAACTACTTTAAAAAGGTGGGTAGCCCAGAGCAGATTCAGGGCTACATAGAAGAGAAAGTGATTTATTTTGAGTTTGGGTAGTTAGGTCCTGGAGCTAGGCCAGCATGCATAAGCACGGTGTGACTTTTTTAAAGCTTTAGGCCAAGACTAGCTACTCACACCTTCTGTTCACCTTTGAAAACGTTTCCTGGGGACTTCTGTAACCCTAGGCCCTGGCCTACTCCACGAAGTTTTATTTTAAGAAAAAAAGAAAATATTATCTTGTCTCTAAATTGCTCCAAAGTTTTGTTTTGTGTTTTTGCTGGACCTCACCATCTAGATATAGTGGGCAAACACGGTTCTTGAGCAAACTTAGATTTGATTTTTATGTTCCTTGGCTAACAAAAGTGACCACCTGTAAATGGTGCTAAAACATCAAATTATCTATTTCTTTCCCTATTTCTTCACTATGACTAGAATTTCTGGAAATTTTGCATTTTTCCTTCCTTCTTGAGAAACAGAGGGAGAAATGAGAGTTAGTATAAAGAAGAGGGAAGAATCAACGTGGGAATGTGCCTTAAATCAGTCATTACTTCCCTTGGTACCTTATAGGAACTTTGGAAACAGGGATTAAAATTGAGAGAAGAAACAGTTCTAATCTAATGTTGAACAGCAATTCACTGAAAAGCTAATGTCAAATTAGCTGGACCCTTGTCTTCCCTTACTGTGCTCTCCCCTTGCCTCTAAATACAGTATTCTAAATCACCGAGGGGCCAAAAAGTCCCTGTTGCCACAGAGACACGCTGCAATTCTCCTGATCCAGCTAGACCTGACCTGCTCTCTCCTGAAGACATCTTTCCCTAGATATTACCTGCGTTTACCCCTAATTTCAGTCCCCCTATCCTCTCTTCCTAATAACCACCAAAGAAATGTTTGAACAGTTCTTAGAGAATAAAAGTTTTTTTTAAATCCAAATTTGGACACAATAAAGAAAAAGAATTTTTAAAGAAAACAATTGAGAAGGATGCCAGAGATCACACAGGTCAATTTTGGGTATGGTGATGGTGTGCCCAGTAAAGGAACAGGCAGGAAAAGACAACTGTTGTTGTTGGGTTTTTTTTTGTGTGTGAGGAAGCTCAGCCCTGAGCTAACATCCATGCCAATCCTCCCCTTTTTTTTTTTTGCTGAGGAAGATTGGCCCTGAGCTAACATCCATGCGGATCTTCCTCCATTTTACATGGGACACCGCCACAGCATGGCCTGACATGCAGTGCGTTGGTGCGAAGATCCACATTATGTGGGACGCTGCCACAGCATGGCCTGACAAGCAGTGTGTCGGTGCATGCCCAGGATCCGAACCTGGGCCGCCGCCAGCAGCGGAGCGCACGCACTTAACTGCTACGCCACGGGGCCAGCCCCAGACAGTGGTTTCTTACAGTGAAGTAACCAACGTTGAGCGATATCACTTGGTCTAAGATTAGGATGACTTGGTTTGTACCTGTTGCCCAAGTATAATTAGTAATAATGCTCCCTTTCCCTCTCAAAGTGTGCCAACTTGGACAATAAATGATAAGGTCACCCTAAATATTCTGCATATATTCTCAGAGGCCTTTCCGTTACCAGAGAATGAGAGAGGAAATCAAAGGGTGAGCTTTTGTTCTAGGACACACTTCCCTAAAGAATGGACACTCCATACCATTCTCCTATCATTCCATCCCAAAATTGTGTTTCTTAGTCCACGTCCCGGTATGGGAATGCTCACAGTCTGTTTCCTGGACTCAGTCTTCTTCGTGTGAGATCCCTTGCAGGCCATCCCAAGAAGGGGAGCCATGATCACCACATGTCAAAGGCCGAAACACAGCAGGTGACAATAAAGATAAATTCAAGGAAAACAGGCCACTGGCTGAATGCTGTCTCTGAGTATATGACTATGGATTAGTTCCTTGAGACTCACCTTTAGGAAGCTTATCAGGAGACCAGGTGGCTGACTCTCCAGAGACCTTACAACTGTAGGAGACAGATCCACAAATAATGAAAAAGGGCCATCAGGATAAAAGGTCATTTCATTTCATTTCCATCAAGCCCCAAGGGTTGGGGAGGGAGGTGCTCTCACCACACAGTGGTGTTAACATAAAAGAAATTATTTGAGGTAGAGTACAGGGGATTTTTTTAGGGCAATGAAACTATTCTGTATGCTACTGTAATGGTGGATACACAACATTATGCATTTGGCAAAACTATAGAACTGTATACAAAGAGTGAACCCCAATGTAAACTATGGACTTTAGTTAATAATAATGTATAAATATTGACTCATCAGTTGTAACAAATGTACCACACCCACGCCAAGTTGTTACTAATAGGAGAAACTGAGGTAGAGGAAGAGGAAGTATACAGAAACTCTCTGTACTTACTTTTTGCTCAATTTTTCTGTAAACCTAAAACTGCTCTAAAAAAATTAAGTCTGCTAATTAAAAAAAAACATATTTTAAGAATTAAAAAAAGAAATAATTTGTTAGGTAATAAAATATAGAAGTCATAGGATTACAAATATTCCATCATGCATGTGAAAAAAAATTATTAACTGGCAGATAAATCTTATAAGTAACTTTACAACTTTTGGGAACACAGAGATAGGACTTTCAATGGCATCACCAGGGCAAGAAATTATCAAGACAGATACTGAGGTTATTTTCCCAAGATGTGGCAACAATTTTTAAAGTTTTAGGAATCTAACAATTCCCCTTTGTTAAAATAACACTTCCAAGGACAAAATTATATTAAACAGAGAACAGAACAAGTTAGTGAAAGTTTTGAATCTTTATATTGCAAAGAACTGGACTGAAATTCTTGTGAAAGTTCTCAATTTAACTCTTCATTTAACCAGATCACTTGTTTTATAATGTGGAAAGGTATCTCTCTCAGCAGCCTCAGGAGAGAGGGAACACCTGCTCCATTCTTTTCTGAAAATCCTGTTGTTACCTATGAAGACTTGCATTTTTTCATTAGAAAAAGACCTATGTAGTTTAAATTAACTGGCCGAAATAATTAAAAAAAACTAATAGTGAAATAAAAAGCAAATAATATATTTCTTCTGCAATAGAAATATGCAAATGATGAGTAAGATGAGGAGATGTGGGTATGCTAAAATCTTCTGTGGGATTAACTTCTGGGAATTCCCCAAACTGTGTCAATAATGTACATAATGCTTCAATCTCTGTCTCCAGAAACAAGCTGAATTTGTGTCCCTGTCAAATTCATAGGTTAAAGTCCTAACCCCCAGTACCTCAGACTGTGACTGTATTTGGAGATAGGGCCTTTAAAAAGATAGTTAAGGTAAAATGAGTTCATATGGGTGGGTCCCAATCCAATGACTAATGTCCTGATAAAAAGAGGAGATCAGGATACAGCACAAACAGAGGGAGGACCCTGTGAGGACACAGCAAGAAGGTGGCCATCTATAAGCCAAGGGGAGAGGCTTCAGGAGAAACCAAACCTGCCGACACCTTGATCCTGGACTTTGTGCCTCCAGAACTGTGAGAAAATAAATTTCTATTGTTTAAGATATGCAGTCTGTGGTATTTTGGTATGGCAGCCCTAGTAAACTAACACAGAAGAGTGTCAACACCTTAGTGACCTATAACACATCTTGGATTAGATTAATTTTGAGGTTTTCCCCAGCTCTCACAATCTTTTTTCCATGTTTTTTTCTCTTTCATCATGAATCTGTCTTCAGTGTCCATGGACCAAATCCCAACTCACCAAATACACACCCCAGCCCATCCCCAGCAAACACATGCAAGGCACATTTTTTGCAGCATCCTTTTGCTCCCTTGACTGTTACTGAACTGGGTTTCTGGGAGATAGTTCTAACTTGGGTTCTAGTCTCAATCTCACCCCAATGTCAGAAGGCCACCCTCTTCTCTCTGTCTCTTACTTTTGGTGAGATAGTGCCTTGGGGTTGGAGGGAAGACCCGGAAGAAGGTTACTAACACCAAGCTTAGGAAAGGGAGAATAAAGGCTATAATAAAAAAATAAAAGATCATCTGCAAGGTACAGTGTGCTACAGGAGCAAGAGGTTGCATAGTGACAGTCACTCTCCAGGACCTATCTGTTCTCCATCTTCCAAAGGAAGTATCAAACAAGGCAGGCAGCCTGAGCCTCCATTTGGGGTTAAGTGAGGGAGACTGGGGGAGGGAGGGGTATTAGGGGAAGGTGAGAGAGGGCAGAGTGTCTAAAAGGGTAGGGCTGCTGCTACATCTTGCCAGAATGCACCTGGTTTGAAAAGGAGAGCCATAGGCTTCCAAACAACTGTCACTCATCCGCAACCAGTTGGCTTAGGGCACTCAGCTTCCCAGCTAAAGTACTCCTGCCCACTGGCATCGAAAAGACAGAGAGGGCGAATCCCTGCCATTTCCTGAGCCCCTAAGATCCTTGCCTCCTTTCAAAACACCACACTAACTCGTTTGTATTTCTGAGTGGTATAGAGGGGATTTTAAATAAAAATGTCTTAGACAAATTTCTATTGAGCACATGCCCAAGCTTATTATCTTGCTAACAAGGGAACCCACAAGATGATAAAACTATGGGTCTTTCAGAGAAGGTATGAAAATGGAGGAGTAATAGGGCTGGGAAAGGCTACTATACAAGTAGCCTGTTTAAAAAAAAATAAAGAAAACAGCTCATTAGGTAAGGGTTGCCCTTTCTTTTCTTATGGCCATAAAACCATCACATTCATATCAGTCATTTGAGGGAACCTTGAGCAATGTGATCCGAGAGACTAGGCTTGGCTAACCCTTAGAAATAGTAATAACAATAATAATAATAATACACCTCAGAAGGAAATCCTGAGGATAAACCTGAGGCTATTAGGTGGAATATCAAGACTTCCTTCCCAGAAAAGCGTTTGATTGATCCAATGAACATGGAAGCAGGCTATGTGTCAGACAGAGGTCAGAGACAAAACACCAGGGCGCAAGGCCTGATTTTAAACTGGTGCTGCTACTAACTTTTCTCAACCTTCAAGGCAGTACGCAGAATCCACAGTTGGTCCATTTCTTAACTTTGGGATTTTTTTTTCCTTCTGACAGGGAGAACAGAAGGCCAAAGTGTTGGAAGGCTCAGCCCTTCGGTGTGCCCACTGTGCTGGTGTCCCGAAGGTGAGTCCTCGTAAACTGGGGGGGGGGAGGGGGGGGGAAGAGCCCAGGCCAGCCCCACCTGCCCGCCACCACCTCTTCCAGGCCACAGCCCTGCTGCTCCAATCCTTTTAAATGCCCTCTCGCCTCCCTTTTTTCTGCCCTCGAGCCTCCGTGGGGACCTCTCATCGCAGAAAGGCCCGCGATCTCTGTGACCCCACCTCCCGGATTGCGCCTTTCCCCGACATTCGCACTCGGAGCCCGGGAGAGAGTGCGGTTACTCTGGAGACGGGAAGGCAAGGCCGGACTGTCGATGCCGAGGTCCCCACTCACGGCCAAGGCCGGACTGCAGGGGGGGGTCCCAAGCAGATGGAGGGCGGCGGGACCACCCGCATTTTCCGGAGACTCACACTGAGGCCTGCGAGGTGCTCACCCGAGTCGCGCGGCCGTCCGCGAGGCGCGGGGCTCCCAGCTGCGGCCCTGGCCGCGCGTGCCCTCGGCTGGGGCAGGGCCGGCGCGCACCGCGGGAGAGTGAAGAAACGCCCGGAGCCGGGCACTGCTGGGAACAGGAAGGCCGGGGAAGCCGAGGATGCGCTTCCGGGGCTGCGGGCGGCGGGCCGCCGTGCGTCGGAGCGGGGGAGAGCCGGCTTCTCCCCTCGCGATAGGTGTCTCCGCCTCCCGGGCCGCGGGACTCAGGATCCACCTTGAGCAGCGTCGCCTCAGCACCATGGTCCCAGCCGAGCCAGACAAGAAAAGGAGAAGAACGTATTTATGAAGGCGTGAAAAATTTTAAAACTAAGTAAAATAAAATTTTAAGGAATTAGTTTCATAATGGGAGATGATAAAATTTTAAGGAATTAGTTTCATAATGGGAGAAAAAGATGTGTTTCCGCCCGGTTTCGAACCGGGGACCTTTCGCGTGTGAGGCGAACGTGATAACCACTACACTACGGAAACGCTGCGAGGGTGGCTTGCCCAAGTCAGTGGTTCTTCCTACAGAACACGCCTCTCCTGCCGGGACCTTGCAAATGTGCGTCGTTAATATGCGCGTGTGTCTGTGTACCGTTCTCAAACCAGAGAAGCGCAGACCAAGCTCCTGCAGCGATCTGAAGCTAAATCCTTAATAATTTATTCTGAAAATAACCGGATAGGGGAGAACAAAAGAGACTTTAATCTTTAGGAAGACCTTTCACTACTATTTCTCAATCTGAATGTCTATATTTAAATTTCTTCCCCTTTGCTTAATATGTTGCTTCAAACCCCTTCTTTAGCTGGAGTGGACTGCCGAGGCTGGGCATGACGCGGGGACAGCGCACGTTTGTCTGCCAACGCTTTGGTTAGCGCCACCGCATGGCCGGACGCAGAATTTGCTCTACAAAGGATTGATGGTCTCAGCTGGGTCAAAAGCGGCGCTTTCTTGCTCCTGAAACGTCCGGGCAAACTTCGCCTTGCACGAATTTTCTAAGCCCATCGAATTCCTCGGTGGTCGGCAGACGAAGGAAGTAAAACGACATCGCCTACACCGAGCCAGCCAGGAGTCGAACCTGGAATCTTCTGATCCGTAGTCAGACGCGTTATCCATTGCGCCACTGGCCCCCGCGTGTGGGTGGGTTACGGGCTGACGTGTGTTCAATAGAAACCAGGCAGTACCGGTCCACCCGGTAGGGTTTGTGCTTGGGCCTGAAAGCTGCGTTGTTCTCGATAGCCCTGGCTCCCCGGCGGCCACTTCTGCACGCACCCTCATGTCTGTGGTCTTTCCTCGGTCTGTCTCTGCCGACCGAAAAATGGCGGTGGGAGGCAAGCCCGGCATCCCCTCTGCCCCAATATTACCCCTCCATTCATGCATTGATTCATTCAACCAATAGTACCGTTTCAGGCACTGGAAATACAACCGTGAAGAAAACAGATGTGGTCCCTGCCCTCAGGAAGATTACAAGGCTGTGGCTCAGACGATAATAAAACACTTAGTAAGTAAAATACTGGTGATAAGCACGTGGAGAAAAAAAAATTGGGAAAGAGAATAGGAAACCCAAGCAGGGAAGGTGATAAACGACAGAGAAATGCGGATATCAGGGAACAGAGCGATCTGGGACGGGGGAAATCTCCAGGGCAAAGGCCTGTAGGTGGGAGTGCGCCTGGGATGTTCCAGTAATGTCGGGGAGGCCAGTGCTGAGTGGAGAGGGGTAGGAGATCTGGGGAGATGATCTCAGGCCTTGTAGGTCCTGGTAAGGACTTTGGCTGTTACTCCGTAGGAAATTGGAAGCCGTTGTAGGTTAGCATGGTCTGACATTCTTTCTTGTTTCTCCTTAGGTCGTTAAAAATTTCTAATTGTAGATGTTAACCACATTTACAAAATAACCTTCAGAGCAACATCTAGATTAGTGTTTAACTGAATAACTGGGTACTACAGCCTAGCCAAGTTGACACATAAAACTAACCATCACAGTGGTCGACCGGTCCTCCTCTGTGTCTCAGTGCACTCTTCCTGCAGTTTCTCTCCCAAGCATATGGAAAATGGCACTGTCTGCCATTCCCACATTTCTTTACATTATTGTCAGCAGTCTGTGACACATTGATCTGTGCATTCTCCAATTTCAGATGTGTGAAACAGAGCCAATGTGAGGGGCATTTCCATGGTCCCTGCTGGTCACATTGGGAATTGAGTAGAAGATAGGGTTCACACCCAGATTTCTGGAAATGATTGCTCGAAGTCTCAGTTTTCTCCCAAGACTTGTCTCTAGCTTGTTAACTCCTTTGACTTCCCAGAATTTCTGTGCAAATTTTGACAGCTGCCAGTCAAAGGAAAAACCCAAACCAAATACTGTTGGCTCTGCTGTCTTGCTGAATATCTGCCACAGTTCGGTCAAAGCTATACAAGGTGCTGTTGATGATTATATTGGCTACAAGCACACTAACAATATGATGGCTAATTTTATAATATTAAAGAAATGGATGCTTATTTCATGGAGTCTCAAACTGTGTGTTGATGTTACTGCACAAAGGGCACCATCTGCTTGCGGTGAGACAAAAGCCAATCATCAAGAGGCAAGATGGTGGAAAAGAAACGGCAGTTTATTACAGCTTGCTAGCAAGGGGGAAGATGGCCGACTAATGTCTCAAAGAACCATCTTAAAGGGGCACGAAATCTTACAGCAGTGATATAGGCGGGTGGGTTATAGGGGAGGAGGTTAGGAATGTTGAGCTTCTGGTGTTACAGACTGGGAGTGCCACACCAGATCTTTCAGTTTTCATTGATGATGGCTATCAGCATAGACTCTCTGTTTGGGGGTCATCACATTCCTAAGGAACTCAAAAGAACAAAGTTATCATCTTATCGCAGCTGGGAGGTTCGTGCACAAGCAGAGGTCATGAAATCTACAGAGCAGTTAGGTCTCCCAGAGGGTGCATATCCAGCTGGGTTAGTTTGTCAGAGATCATTCAAGGTTAATGGGGTCAATAGGGTTTCTTTTCTACAATATGGCTTCCCTTATGTCAACCTTTTCTTGAGCCGGTATCACTGAGTTCATGGACTTTCAATCTTTTTCTGAAAATAGGAAAGCTGGCAGAGTCATAGACTTTTACCTCCCTCATCCCCCCATCATGTATGTAGGCAGAGGTAAGTGCCAATGGCTGTCTTATAGTGTGACACAGAAATCCTTCAAATATTGATACAGTTGATTTCAGCATTATCACCACCACAACAAAGTTCAAGCAAGACAGTCAATCATAATTACAGATTTCATTTGGGATGTCACTTTCACAGCTACAACAATTTATAAACTCTTCAGAGTTTCACTATAGCCTTTTGTTCAAATTATATTCCCAAGGACAGATTTATTTTACAGAGAATAGAACAAATTGGAAACAGTTACAATACTCACACAAGCCCCCACGACAATGTAGAAATTCTTGTGAATGCTTTCAATTTGACATTTTATCAAAACAGATCCTTTGGACAAGTTTTAGGACAAGAAAGCTTCTCTCCCTCTGTAGCTGCAGAGGAAAAGGGACCGCTCCTTTATTTCTTTCCAAGACTAGGTTTTAATTGTAAAGCCGTGTATTTTTAAGGTGCGACTCTGGAATTCCACTAGTTTAACAGTATAAGCAAGAATCAGGCAGGTGGAACCGAATTTTACGGAAAGAAATGGGAAAGGAATGACTGGAATTTTAATTAAAAACAGTGAGATAAGGAACATATAGCTTGCTTCCTGCAGGGACCAGTTCTTGGTGCTGGAAGTGGTCTGATGTAATTGTGTTACACGACCCGGAGGGGTGTTCTCCTGTAAGTGTGGCCGGTTCCGCCCCCCTGGTCTCCTCCCGGCGCTCTAGGTCATGCTTCACCCTCGGAAGCAGGAGCTGCTGAACTCTTCCCCTTCCGGGCAGTTTCTCGAAGACTCCCGTGGCGCGCCCTGAGGATTCAGGCTAGCGCCTACGTTTTCCTTACCCCACTCCCGCGCGAGGGGAGCTGTTTTCCTATAACTACATGGTTGCTTAGGTGTTTGCGGGCAGAGCCGAGGTTCATCTTTACGGTCTGAGCAAGCATCTGGGCTGCTCGTGACCCTCAGCAGTGGGAAAGTGAACGCACAAAACAAAAACAAAGATCATTCCTTTTCCTTGTCGATTTGGGGACTAACTGACGTACTGGCTCCGTGGCTTAGCTGGTTAAAGCGCCTGTCTAGTAAACAGGAGATCCTGGGTTCGAATCCCAGCGGGGCCTGTAGTGGTTTTTCCTGCCACAAATAAAAGAGATAGGTGATCAACATGTAATCTTACAGATGAATTTTCACAACAGTGTTTTATGTGGCTCTGAGGGTGGACACTCTTATTGTTCACAGAAAAAGAGACAGATGAATTTGATTTTCTTTCGGAAGAATTTCTATCTTTCTTGGTGTTCTTATATTTTTATTCCACGTGTAATATTTTTTCAGCAAGTACAAAAGGATCCACGTGTAATATTTTTTCAGCAAGTACAAAAGGAACCAGGGAAAACAGAAGGCAAAGTCACCAAATTAAACCTAAAGCAACGTCATAGTCTCTGACTATTCTATTCTCTTTCCTGGGGAAATCCCAAACGGATGCACTCGCATCTGCAGGCTATATTTTTTAGAAAAGTCAACCTCCAGAATGATTGATAAATGTGTTGTTCAGAAGACTGCAGCATCTCAATTCATAGCAGCCACTAAAATCCAACCATATAACACAAACTGTAAATAACTATTTAAAAAGGTGGTCTTGTGCTCAGAGTTTTTTGGAGGAAAATCAAAGAGAAAACAAATATTTGTAATCGTGATTTTGAAAAGAAGGTGTCAGGGAGAAGCATTCATTTGATTGTATATCAGAGTGGATAGCCCACTAGAATAGGCAGGCTTGAAGCTGGCAGCATCCAGGCTGACTTGAAGAAGTCCAGGAAGGGCTGAGGTGCCTTCTCTCAAACTTGCCAAGAGGGAGGAAGAAAAACTGAGAAGTGGGAAAGAAGTCCAGACTTTTACTCATAACTGGGCCCCTTTACACAGAAACTCAAGACCAGGGAAATGGAAATTCGCTGTACCTGTTACCAGCCCTTTCACTCGTCTCCCAAGAT